TTTTACAATTAGTCACTTTTATCACCACCATTTTGTGTTTTTCAATAATATCATATCTTATATTTTCATTTTCTATTCGTGTCGTGTCAACGATTTATGTTGAAAATTAACACCCGTACTAATACTTGTTTGAATTTTGTTTTATCTTCGTCTGACTACCAAAAACTTAGTCAAATTAAGGTGGTCCATATCCTTATCCCTATCTTCAGTAACCACCTTTAGTAACTGCCACTAACAATGCATATCCATAACTGATTCTACGATGGATATTGTGTTATAATGGATGTGTATTCATTCCACGATCTTTAAACTCTCTCTTGCATTCAGACGTATACACTATCTAAGGGCAAGAGGAAGAGTTTAGATGCACCATAAAAAGCCAATTTCAAAAGCACGGTGGAAACCCAAACTATGAATTGATCAAATGAAAATGGTGAGAGGTATATTTTGATCCTCTATATTTTTTCTCGTTGATCTAATTGTTTGTTTATGAAAAGCATGATTAGATCATTTTATGTTTTATCTAACAGTTGGTATGAGAGTCATATATGCATAGGTTAGAAATCATAGGTATATTAGATTTCTAGCGTTTCCTAAAGGATTTGAGCACTAGAGGTGGTAAAGAGGTCAGCACGTCACGAACCCGCCAAAAACGGGGCGGGTCGTGTTGACCTGTCTCGTAAAAGTGGGTTGAAAATATTAACCTGCCCTGTTTATGACGGGTCGGCAGGTAAACCAGTTTAAAAAATAAAAAAATAAAAATTTTAAAAAAATCTTATTTTATGATTTTTATAGTATTATTTAATTTATTTCACACTCCCATTAACTGTTTTCAATCATAAACCTAAATGTATGTTAGTATTCAGTCTAAGAGTCTTTAGGAACTCATCTTTGTCTCTATATATAAATAACCTTTGTCATAAATAAAATGTTTCCTTCTCTATCTTTTATTGACGTATACTTAGATAAAATTTTTGGATATCACAAAAGCTTGACATGACAAATAAAATATTACTTGATACTAAAAAAAACTAACCCGATGGGTGCACGACAGGTTGAACCCCTTTGACCCGCCACGTGGCCGATGAACTGTTTATTTTGTACATTTCTTTCGTATTTCTTAATTAATTAGTCTATTTCTTAAAGCTTTTAACAATTCGATTTCATCACTAATAACCATGCATACTGTTGAGATATATAGTCTCACATTTGTTGTATGTGCAACTAATGTGGAGTTTATAATATCTTGGGCACTCCCACCTTTTGAGCTAGCTTTTGGGGTGGTGACCTCAAGGTTCTTAATCTCACCGCCTCCCACTTTGTAGTGGAATTTCCACATGTAGGTGGGCTTGTATGTTGTCCACCCTTCAAGCCCAGTGGGCTCTCGTGTGAGGGGGCGTGTTGAGAAATATAGTCCCACATTAGTTGTATGGGCAACTAATGTGAGGCTTATAAGGCCTTGGGCACTCCCACCCTTTGAGCTAGCTTTTGGGGTGGTGTATCCCAAAGTTCTTTACATGGTATCAGAGCCTCGCTGCCCCCCACTTTCTCTTGTGGCGTTTCTTAGCACAGGTAGGCTGGGCCTGTTGCATTGTCCACTCTTCAAGCCCAATGTGCTCTGGTGTGAGGGGGCGTATTGAGATATATACTCCCACATTGGTTGTATGTGCAACTAATGTGGAGTTTATAAGATCTCGGGCACTCCCACTCTTGGAGCTAGCTTTTGGGGTGGTGTATCCCAATGTTCTTTACACATACATATGTTGTGTGTCAAATAAAAGATGGCTCGATCATAAGTAGCTTATATATCGATAGCCATTAGCTTGGGTTAATTTCTATTTAACGCTACTATGGCAAGATGACAAATCGAACAACGACAGATGATTCTAAAGCCAACAGAAAAAATTCCAATCCTTGGGTTTAACATTTACTATTTGCTAACATTTTCACATTTGGACGAGAATAAGGGTGTAAATGAGTCAGGTCAAGTCCGACTTTAGGTTAAATGAGCTAGGGTAATGTAAATTATTTCAAACATGAATTGATTTGTTAGTCTGATACAAGCCAAATTATATTTTTGGCCTGACTTGTTTTTTAAAAATGCAAGGCTTGGCCTGGCCTATCAAACCTTCAAAAATAATATATTGCACTATGCAAATTATAGGTTACAATTACTTTGTATAATAGCTTAACACAACTTAAAATATTTACAATTTAACTACGTTGTTGAAAATAAAAAACAATCAATCGAATTGAATTGTATTATTTTTAATTGTAAAATTAAATTTTAATTTAATTTAAAATAAATTAAAGTTTATATGCGCATGCACGCATGTGTACACACACATATATTTGTGTGTGATATTGAGCAAAAAAGAAAGATTTACATTTAGTGTTTATAGATCTTGAGAAGGCATACGATATGGTCCTAAGAAAAGTTTTATGGTGGGTTCTTGAAAAGAAAAAAGCACCATCAAAGTATGTAAATGCAATCAAATATATGTATGATGGGGCTACTACATGTGTAAAAGCTTGTAATGGAACATCAAGTTATTTTACTATTATAGTAAATGTACACCAAGATTTGGCTCAGAGTCCTTATCTCTTTGCCTTAGTGATGGATGAACTAACAAAAGATATTCAAGAGGAAGTGTCGTGGTGTATGCTTTTTGCAGATGATATTGTGCTTATTGATGAGACCAAAAACGGTGTTAATAGGAAACTTGAATTGTGTAGAAACACTTTGGAGTCTAAAGATTTCACGTTAAGCCGGAGCAAAACTGAGTATATGATGTGTGAGTTTTTTCTGGTAATAGATGGAGATCAAGACCACGTGCATCTACTTGGTCAAGAGGTACCCAAGAAAGATGCTTTTAGATACCTGGGATCAATTTTGCAAAAAAGTGATGAGATTGATGAGGATGTAAATTATAGAATCAGAGCAAGATGGATGAATGGCGTAGTGCATCTGGGTTTTTGTGTGACCGCAAAATTCTCCTTAAGCTAAAAGGAAAATTCTATAGAACAAAAGTAAGGCCTGCAATGTTATATGAAGCTGAATGTTGGCTAAGACATAGGCAACACAAGCATAAAATGGGAATAACAGAAATAAGGATGTTAAGGTGGATGTGTGGTTATACGAGGATGGATAAGAAAATAAATGAAGATATTCGAAGAAAGGTAGAAGTAGTACCGGTACCTGAAAAGATGAGAGAACATAGATTGGTGTGGTTTGGGTACGTAATGAGACGACCCTTGGATGCTCCTGTAAGAACAAAAGTTTGTTACCAAGAGCTCGACACAAAGAGAGGTAGAGGTAGATCAAAATTTACTTGGGAAAAGGTAGTTAAACAAGACTTAATGCAGTGAGATATAGATTGACGGATGGTGTGCCTTAGGACGAAATGGAGAAAACCTATAAGCAGGGTGAAAGGTTAAAGCCGATGTTATTCCTATGTTTCAGATAGTTTATTTTTAGTCCTTTTCCTCTTCTTGTCTTTTATCTTATTTCTCCCTTCCTCAATTTTTTATTTTTATTTTTGTATTTATTTTTGTATTTATTTTATTTCATTTTCATTTTCATTTTCATTTTATTTTATTTATTTATTTAGTTTTTTTTATTTTTTATTTTTATTTTTTTTATTTTCATTTTTTTTATCTTATTTTATTTAGTTATTTTTATCTTATTTTATTTTATTTTATTTTATTTTCATTTTTTATTTCTATTTTATTTTATTTATTTATTTAGTTTTTTTATTTTATTTATTTATTTAGTTATTTTTATTTTATTTTTTAATCTCCTCTTATTTATCATTGGTTCATCTACTACCGACTCCAATTAGCTTGGTTTAAAGGTGTTGTTTATATTGATGTTGATATGTATGTGTGTGAATAAAAAATGATTACAAAATATTTATTTTAATACTAAACAACCATGATATTTAAACATAAAAGAAGAAATTACTAAACAAGTGAAATCAAATCAAATTAGACTGATAAATTTCAACCAAAAAAAAAAATAGACTAATAAAAAGAATTTTCCAACAAAAAATAATTAAAAAAATAAAGAGAAACAAATAAAAAAAATCACACAGATAAACACATGCCTAACAAACAAGAGCAATATATGTAGATTGTTTATTTACTTAGGGGGTAAATGTTAAAAAAACTTTAAGTCAGGGGGTAAATGATTCAAAATTTTAGGAAGGGGGTAAATGATTATGAGAAAAGTTACAGGGGATTTTTTGAAATTTTCTCTTATTTGGGAAAACTTCAAAAAAAACCCCTATGATTTTTTGAAGTTTTCTTAATTTCTTTGATTTTATTTATTTATTTATTCTTTTTTTTTTTGTCTTATTTTTATTTAATTTTTTATTGCTATTTTTTAATTTCTAGTGTTTTTTATTTTATTTTTATCCCTTTTTTGATTTTTTTTCTTTCAATCTTTTTACACTTTTATTTGGGTTTATTTGCCATTAATTTCAATTAATTTGCGATAAATATGTTGTTAATGTTAATATTGATGTATTAAGGTCGTTCAAAATATAAGCCATCGTGTAATGCCCTGCCCTTTAAATCCTATTATCAGATTCATCATTCCTCATGTCTATACTACTAAAAACAATCTCGGATCAGATAGCACTAAGTTGCAGTAGTTGAACCAAGATTCCATAGGTGGATAATTTTGAAATTCCATAGTAATTTACTTTTCAATGCAATATGTACTTTTAGTAAATGATCAAAAACAAAATCTAATGGTGAAATTTTGGATAAATTTTTTTATATGTTATTAACTAAAGGGGCAAAAATGGGTTCAGAGCCATTTAAGTAAATATCTAGTTATTATACTTTTACAATTTAGGTTTCCATCATATTATTACATGTCTGCAATTGTAAAATGACTACTGAGTTTTCTGTCTGATTGAGTATTTAATTGCAAAGTTTTGTAGAATACTTATATATATATAAAATTTGATAACATTTTGTTTTAAATACTTCAGCATCACAAAGATTTTGGAACGGTACCAAAAATATACCAAAGATTTTTCCGCCAGTAAGTTTGGGGAAGATTATATCCAGGTTTGACTCTCATCTTACAAATTTCGAAAACTTCATAATTATGGAAGAAATTATTAATATTTGCTTAACTCTAATGTTATGTTTGTAGTGATCATAATAATGCCAAAGTTGATTTGCACTTGATTCGAAAATTTGTTTCTCCTTTTCCAATACGTTTCTTATTTTTCAAAGATATTCATAATAACAAGTATTGAGAGAAAAAAAATTATGCAAAATAATGTCTGAGAAACTATAAAAAAAAGGTCTCAGGAAAAACCGTACATAATGTATTAGACCTATATTTCAATCTTAATTAGGTTATCTTTATGAATTCCAGAAACTTTTTCTAATTTATCAGCAAATGTCTGTTAAAATGTTTTCCCAGTAGAATGAAAACTATCCCACTATCTATATATGTAGCTTCTGGTGGAAATTTAACCCTATTCAACTATGTGAGGTGGTTCTATAGTAAAGGAAATTAGATGTGTTGATACCCAGCCTGTTAATGGTGATAATCATTTTCTTAAATGGTATACTTCAGATTTTGAAGGACATAATGCAAATGTCTGGGCTGGGCCTACTGATAGAGAGGATGATATTCTTAAGACTCGTTAGATTCCTAATATTTTTGTGAATGCATAAATTCACAGAGAGTCAATTTCTAGATAAGCAAGTAATGATATTTGCACTCTTAAGTTTAAAGTAGAAGCATTCGTTTGATGGAGGAATTTATCAATACTTACTTGTCCACAATAAGGCCCAAGCATAGTTATCAGTATCGTATGATACACGATACGATTCACAAACACGATGATACGTATCGTAAGGTGTATCAAAAATACGATACGTATCATGTATCATACGATATAAAAATTATTTGTATCGAACGATAAGATGCTATATCGTATGATACGATACGTATCATGTATCATACGATATAAAAATTAAATCAAATTTTTTAATATTTAATACAAAAAAAGAAATAAAGATTTGATTTGTGATTTAAACTCAAAAATCAATCTGAAAATTCTGTATTAATAGAGAAAATAATTAAATCAACATCAACAAAACATTTATCCCAAATTAATTGCAATCGATGGTAGATGAATCCAAATGAAAAGTACGAAGAGATACAAATAAAAAGAAGTAAAATAGAAATAATAATAATATATATAAATATAAAAGTAATGGGGAAGGGGGAAAAGAGATAAGGGAAAAGAAGGGAAAAGAAGAAGTGGGGGAGATGAAAAGGAAAAGGACTAAAAGGGACCATCAGGAATATAGGAATAACAATGGGTCTAACTCTCCATCATGCTAATAGCTATTATCCATTCCGTCCTAAGGCACACCGTTCGCTAATCTATATCCCACTCCATTAAGTCTTGTTTTACTACCTTCCCCCAAGTAAGTTTTGGTCTACCTCTACCTTTCTTTGTGTTGAGCTCTTGGTAACAAAGTTTTGTTCTTACGGGAGCCTTCTCATTACGTGCCCAAACCATCTAAATCTATGTTCTCTCATCTTTTCAGCCACCGATAGTACTCCTACCTTACGTCGAATATCTTCATTTCTTATCTTATCCTTCATCGTATAACCACACATCCACCTTAACATCCTCATCTCCGCTACTCTCATTTTATGTTCATGTTGCCTATGCGCTGGCTAACATTCAGCTCCATATAACATTGCAGGTCTTACTGTTATTCTATAGAATTTTTCTTTTAGCTTAAGGGGAATTTTGTGGTCACACAAAAATCCAGAAGCACTACACCATTTCATTCATCCTGCTCTGATTCTATGATTTACATCCTCATCAATCTCTATGCCTTTTTGCAAAATGGATTCCAGGTATCTAAAAGCATATTTCTTGGGTACCTCTTGTCCAAGTAGATGCACAAGATCTTGTTGGACAAGTGGCTTCAATACTCAAGAGGGGGTGAATTGAGTTTTATAAAATCTTTTCGCAAAGTGCCTCTTTTGATAATTTAAAGAGTGTTTCTTCAATAAAATAACTTAACAAGGAAAAATCTAAGTGTAGGAGCAAGTGTGTGATCAATAAAGTAAGCAAGTGAATATATGAACACAATCTAAAATTGCAATTTCAAGACTAAAGTGAGGAGTTTAAGGTTAGAAAAATTGCAAACTAGATGTATCCTGGTTAGGTCACCACCACCGTGACCTACGCCTAGATTGAAGTCACTCGATCAAACTTTTTCACTAGCTATCAAGCTTAAGGGTGCTTGATAAACCGTTACAATATTCTCCAAGACTTCGATCTCTTGGTGACAAACACTTTTCTTTCAATTAGAAAAGGGTTCACTCCTCTCTCAATTCAAGAAATCAAAAAGAGGTGTTTAATAATGGTTAAGTACTCTCAAAGTACAGATTATACAAATTGAAGAGCTAATAAGTGTATAACTTTAAATGAAAGATGAGCTCAAGTGTATGCAATGATCAAAGTATGTAATCAATGAGCAATGATTGGTTAAAATAAGTAATAAATATTCAATAATTGATCTATGGTTATGTACTGTTCATTACTGTTGATGTAAGTATTTATATTGACATCTCCTATGAAAACTAGCCGTTTATAGCCTTTGTGATCTGTACATATCCAGATATTTCTCGGGCCCATATCCGGATATTGATATCCGGATATTCAAAGTACAATATCCGGATATTTCATGGCAGCACCCTTTTTGCACGATATCTTGATTTCTTTCCTTTCAAAATGGTTTCTATTACTTGGAATACATGTAATTGGTTATGGAAACTATCTATAAGTGTTCAGACCATGTAAATTCCTTTCCAAACCAATTTTGACATATTAAACCATTCATTTTGACATTTTTAATGCTTAGTATTAAAGATGCATTCTTTTAACTTCAAATGAGTGATTAAGATTGTGAACATGTGTGATTACATTGTGCAAGGCTGCTCAAGTGCTTAAATTATGTTAAAAGCCTTTTGATGCATTTTTGACTTATTAAACCAAAATTTTTAAGCACTTTATGATTAGTAACTATATGTATGACTTGAGCTCATACAATGCTAGAATTTATACACCTTTACATATCTTTCCTAAGTCCCAATTGAGTGTACCAATGATATCTTGGACTTAGCTTCATGCTTTGAGACTTGATGCTTGACTTGCATTGCTTTCACATAGGCTTGAATTCTTTTGGATGTTGCTTCATTCAAGGATCTTGAGCATCCTTCTTTAAGTTTGTTTGTTATCATCAAAACCATGTTGACGTGGCATCATCAAGTGTATAAACTTTGAGTACGTGGCAACCACATCATCACTTTGATTCTTCAGATCTTAGTCTATATCTCTTACCAGAGAAAACTCACACTTCATATACTCAGTCTTGCTCCGGATTAACGTGAATCTTTTAGACTCCAACATGCTTCTCCATAATTCGAGTTTTCTATTAACACCGTCTTTGGTCTCATCAATAAACACAATATCATCTGCAAAAAGCATACACCATGACACTTCCTCTTGGATATCTTTTGTTAGTTCATCCATAACTAAGGCAAAGAGATAAGAACTTAGAGCCGAACCTTGGTGTACACCTATTGTGATAGAAAAATAACTTGATGTTCCATTACAAGCTTTCACACATGTAATAGCCTCATCATACATATCCACGATTGACTTTGCATACTTTGATAGTACTTTTTTCTTCTCAAGAACTCACTATAAAACTTTTCTTGGGACCTTATCGTATGCTTTCTCGAGATCTATGAACACCATATGTAAGTCCTTCTTCTTTTCTCGATATTTTTCCATTAATTGTCGCATCAAGAAAATAGCTTCCATGGTACATCTTCCTGGCATAAATCCAAATTGATTTACAGAAACTTTGGTCTCTCCCCTCAAGCGATGTTTAATAACTCTCTCCCACAACTTCATAGTATGGCTCATTAGCTTAATGCCTCTATAGTTAGAACAATTATGAATATCTCCCTTGTTTTTGTAAATAGGCACAATCATACTTTTCCTCCATGCATCATGCATCTTATTTGTCTGAAGAATCTTATTGAAAAGATTGGTCAACTATTTTATTGCCACATCCCCCAGGTCTTTCCACACTTACAATAGGGACACCATCGGATCTCAAGGCTTTATTAGTTTTCATCCTCTTTAAAGCCTCCTTAACTTCATGTGTATTGATTCTGCGCATAAATCTTCTATTCAAATCATCATAAGCATCCTCCAAGCAACAAAAGGTTGTGTAAACAAAAAGCAAAAAAAAATACATTTTCAAAATATCTTTACCGACTTTGCTTTAACTTTACGAAGTCAAAAAGTTTTCAGCAAGAAAGATTTTATTTTTGAAAACCATTTACAGATTATAAGCTTCCAGCAAATCCAACCACAAAGGCTGATAAGGGAAAATGGCCTTAGATTGTTAAACAAGAAATGGGAGATAAGGCAAATGACTACCCTAATGAAGAGGATGATGGATAAGTTATGTCACTGATAGATGCTGATAATGATAACAATGATAATATTAGTCTTAATGATTGATGAGTAGGAGAATAACTGGTTTTCATTTTAGTTACTTGTGTATTTTGCTTATTGTATACTTTTTGAAAGTTTGATTTATATGATATTAATTATATTATATATTTTAAAATTACTTTTTATTATGTTTATATATCTTACGTTTCGATACGATTCACGATACAAAAAATTGGTCGAACGATACACGATACGTATTGCGATTCAACAACCTTGGGGCTAAGAACTTGGTATAATATAAAGGGTTTGTTGAAACAAAGATTCTTCCCTCCTTATTGCAAAACAAATCTATTACAGTATCACTCATCAACTACAGATTCACGAGACAATTCTGCGTTCTGGTGTTACCTTACTACTGGGAGTGACTTGTGGTTTATAGTTTTTTGAGGGTAGACAAATGTGCGATCCATACCACAATAAGTGGATTTAACGCCATATCTAAATCCAAAATCTTATTGCATTGGACTTATGAGTCCTTTCATTTATATGTTC